TTGGGACTCTCACCTGTGGGAACTACCCTCATGACTCAGCCCCACTGAGAGACCCTCCCACAGCATTAGAGACCTCATCACTCACGGAGAGTCTGGCTTCTTGCCTTTTTGCATGGTGGTACCCGCTTCCCTCTGAGCAGCCCCCCGGAAGGCCCTGCCTTTGTGTTTCCCAGCGTTGACCCCAGTGTCTGGAACACAGAGCGCATCTCATCCATGCTGGTAGAGTCCCTAGGCTGCTCCTGCCAGTCCCTGGGTAGCCTCAGCCTCCATATCCTTACCTTTACCCAGTACCAACTTGTGAGCTGAGACATCTTTTGGGCATTGGGAACCCTCAAACTCTTCTTCCTGGAGAATAAGCCTCACTCCTCCAATCCCCATGGGGGACTCTAAGCCTGTGGAGGGTTTTTTTTTTTTTTTTTTTTTTGCTGATGGATTGTTCTGTTTCGTCTCAGTGCTAGGATTGAACCCAGGGCCTTTGCACTGAGCTACATCCACAGCCCTTTTTTATTTTTTATTTTGAGACAGGGTTTCACTAAATTATTAAATTTGCCCAGGCAGGGCTCAAGATTTCAATCCTCTTCCTCAGCTGACCAGAATGCTGGGATTACAGGCCTTCGCTATCACCAGTGTGTCGTGTTTGCTTATAAAAGGTATAAGAGACAATCAATACTTATTCATGATAAAAAAAAAAATAAGCTTCATGTTCAATGATTTTGCCCAACTGCAGGCTTCTGTAAGTATTTAGAACACAGTGAAGTAGGGTAGGCTGAATTCTGATGTTTGATAAATTAGGTATGTTACACTGTCGTGCCAGCCCCGCCTCTGGGGCTCACTGAGACAGCAAATGAGACCGGGCGTGGTGGCGCATGCCTATAATCCCAGCACTTGGGAGGCCAAAAAACAAGAGGGATCACTACAAGTCCGATCTGTGTAGTGAGACCCTGTAGACCCTGTACTGAATACATTTTTTTAAAAAATATATGTTAGATATATTTTCTTTACTTGTAATATTTTCAACTCACAGGTTTTTTTTCAGACATGATCCCACTCTAAGTCAAGAAGCATTGTATTTACATTTTATAAACTGCAAATATGTATTAAAATCTCAAAAAGAGAAAACCCACCACTGTTTTATAAGCACCAACTCCTTGATAATGAGACACATTTTAATCTAAAACGGTGTTTGGTTCATAAAAAATATTCACAGTAAAGCTTAGTTAGACTTAGAATAGTCTAGAAGAAAGAAAAATGGCCTGAAATGCCCAAACTAGTGGAAGTAACTCAGTGGCACTGAAAAGATTTGGAAGTCCCCAGCGTTCTCTTTCCCAAAAGAACTGCAGAAACAAGAGACACTTGGGAACAAAAATGACCTGAGTATAGTCGAGTTCCTTATCTGGTCCTCTACCTCGGGTCTCCCAGTGTGGGGCAGCAGCAGAGCTGACCCAGAGTTTGGGGTGGGACATAAAGTCTTGATGTAGGTGGTTTTGTAGCTTTCTTAAATGTTGGACAACTGATGAAGCAATGTGCTCAGCTGTTCTGTGCATAAGTTGAAGTCTCTCACTCAGCCCTCTCTCAATGCTGGTAGGAAGGGTGAGGCAGCCAGCTCTCCTGGCCGCTAGAAATAGCAACACGAGGGAGATGCTTCGCATCTTGAGCTGTGACTAGGGAAGTCTGTGAAGGCTAGGATCGGCTTAGCAGCTGGTTCTGCAGAATGTCTCTCTAGGAAGCGACCTGGCTAAATCTGTGACTTAGAAACTGCTTTCCTAGAGATGTTCCAGGCAAGAAGAACACCTACTCTGATCTGAAGTTGAGCTTGCTCCACTTCATCTCACAAATTTGGTCTGGAGGAAGGTGGGAAATATTCGAACCTCTGGATTCACTGCCAAGGTTCCGTTCAGCCAAGCTTCCTAGAAAGTGGCAAGGAGATGAGAGCCTTCCTTGGCATTAGTTCTAGGTGGTACCATGGGTCTCCCCAGGAGTAGAAGCCTCTCTTTGTATTCAGCTAGCTTCTTGTTGTGCACATTCAGGCATTCTCACTAACTGATCAAATAGGTAAAATATGGTAACAAGGCGGCAGCACGTAGAGTATTTCCCAAGTGGGCGCCATCATCCCCATTGCTTTAAAACAAGCATTTTCCCTGTTTTCTTTTTTCCCTTTCCCCATTCCCAATTTTCTAACAGCTCTGCTTCTGTGTCAAGTGCCACCCACAGTAGTGAACTCCTGTCTTCCTAATCAGACTGTGTTACAGATTTGTTACAGATTATTGGCTGCCAGGGTTAGTGATCAAAAGATGGATGTCGTGTCTCAGAAGAAATCCTGGCTCTGATGCTTAGCAGCTGCGGCAGCTTCGGGAGATGACGTGAGATGGCTGCTCCAGCCCAAGCGCTGGTGTTGCTTCATTTCATGCTAAATCCAACATTCCTGGCACAGAATAAATATACCTTGCCCATCACTCCCTAAAACAGGCTCATGACTCTACTTTAAATTTCTAAAGCATTGTATATTTTAATTATTGAAGATGTAGGAGATAGATTATCATTTGAACCTGAATCTGATTCCAACTGATGATCCTCTTGACCCTAGTTATGACAGCAACTAGATGGGATTTTAAAGGATATCATAGTCCACAGAATTTTTTTTTTTTTTTTGTCATGAAAAAGCAACCTTTCTTTATAGGGAAAATTTTGAAGTTAAAGATAAATGGAAGAATTGGCCTTCATTAATTTCCAGTCTGACCTACTAGTCCCGAGATTGTGTTGCGACTGACTTCTCTCCTCTTCTAGAAGTGCCAAGTTCTGATCTGTTGCTGAGAGTAAAGCTTGAATCAATTGAAAGTCTGAAATTGTCTTGGACCAACTTCTCTGCAGCACCTTTGGTAAACACACAGTACCTGAAGGACTCTGGGTGTCACTAAGGCTCCCTTGTGCATATCAATGCAGAGGGAGAGGCGGCCAACAGGACTAACAAAATGATTGAGAGCTTTGTTTGAACCATGTGTCACTATCCATCTCTCCAGCTTCTAGGTGGTAAACAGGGAAAGATTAATGAATTCTAGGAAGTAATTTGAATTTCCCATTCTCAGAGTTGCAGATACAGAATAGCCTGGTCTTGTCCAAGCTCCTGAAGAGATTCATATTTAGTCTTTTTGAGACAAAGTCTCACTATGTAGTTAAGGCTGGTGTTGAGCTCATTTTGTATCCCAGATGGGTCTCAAACTCATGATCCTCCTGCCTCAGCCTCCCAAGTGCTGGGATTACAAGTGTGTGCCACCATGCCTGGCGAGATTAATATTTTAAAGCAGGTAGAGTCACCATGGTGAAGCCCGGAAAGATGATGTGTGGGTTCCTGGGCCACCTCTGTTCCAAGACCCAGCTGACACGCTCTCCTGCAGGTCCTGTCCTACCAGCTGGCTGGTGGCACTTCTCTGTAAGGACTTGTGGCATGATAAGGACAGTGGCATGGTTGCCACTGTCATCCCTAGTGACTGTGACCCTATCATTCTGTACCTCAAACCCCATTCTTCCTTCTGGTTCGGTACTGGTTCATTGAGCCCTAATATGTGTATTATGAAGACTCAGTCCTTGTACTTATCTCATGTAGAGCTTGTCTCTCCTTGAAAACATTGGGTTTAATATCTCGCAAATGGATTTCTGCATGTTGCTGATACACTCTCTTCCCCATTGATACACCTTAGTCTTTCTGACCAAAGTTATTCCTAGCTATTATCCACTCACAACTGGAGTTTATTGGCTTCCTCCTTCCACCTTTGTTTTGTATAAGATAGTCTAGACCTATTGTGTGCATAAAGAGAATAGTTATTATACATGTATAAGAATCCCAGCTGCCTTGTAGAAAACTTAAACTCTGTCTGATTTGTGTAACCTCCTCTAGTTGAGAGCCGACTTCCTTTCCATTTTACCATTCAACACCCTCCTTAATGAGCATTTGAGTCCCCGCGGGAGCTGAGGGCTGATGCTTCCTGTGGTGTGCATATGGTCTGAGTATAGCCCCAGAAGTTCATATGTTGAAAGCTATGTCCCTATTGTGGTGATGAAGTGGCACAAGAGGGTAGGGTCCTAGTGACGATGGTCAAATCATGGGAAGTGTCATCCTTCAGATGGATTGATGTAGTTCTTGTGGGACCCTGAGTTACTTCTTGAGAGAGTGAATTGTTACAGAAAAAATGAGCCTGACCCATCTCATATTCTGGCTCTCTGCCTTGCTATGTTATCTCTCTTCTCACACAGGCTTTCTCCATAATGCTATGGGCCAAGATGGGATGCATCTGGGGATCCTAAAGATGAGTAGATGCAGTGCTGTTTGGACTTTCTGTCACTAAAACTGATCTAAATAAACCTCCTTCCTTTATAAAGTACTTACTTAGCCTCAAGTATTTTGTTGTAGAAACAGGATGTGGACTAATACAGTACCTCAGACACCCATGCTGCCATTGTCACTGGGAGTAGGAGGAAGAAGGCAGGAGAGAGAGAGAGAGAGAGAGAGAGAGAGAGAGAGAGAGAGAGAGAGAGAGAGAGAGAAAATCTGGTAGTGAAAGCTGATAAGAAAATACATCTAACTGATTGAGAAGATACTCCAACATCTAGACAGGAAAGTCTTCTTACAGTGATGTTTAAGCTAAGATTACATGAAAGGGAACCAATTCTACAAAGACACTTGGAGGACTAGCTTTTCTCCCAACTGGTGAAAAGCTTGAAATACCTAACCAAAACCAAGGGGCCCGAACACAAAGCACCAGTGGTTAAGAAAGAGTTGCTGGTGAGGTAGGCTTGGTTGGGTCAGCTTGTGTAGAGCATTCAATACAGCTTGGATCTTCTTCTAAGATCAGCAGGTAGCCAGGAGAGTATTATTAAGCAGGGAAGTTGTATGATCAGGTTGTTTCCTTTAACAAAACCCATGGCTTCCCAGAACCAATCAGGAAAAGGCAGTGATAGAAGCAAGGAAACCAGCTACAAAGTGGCTGTGGTGGTGTGGGTGGAAGATGCACATGGGCAAGGTTAAGTGGAAGAAGTTTACCACGGGGTTAGCAGTGGCTCATGCTGGAGATGGTTCTGACCCAAGGTGGGCTGGAGATGGTAGAAAGGGGCATGCTCCCACTGGGACTGTTTAGCTGCTGACCATCTGGCACATGTGCTGTATATAGCTGGGCACTGACAGAAAGACTTCTATGTTTTCTGCCCAGCCTATCTTTGTGATTAATGACCCATTTCAAGCTCACTTGCTTTTTAAAGGTTTTCCTAACTATTGCAGCCCAGAACTCATTTCCTCAGATCCTTTACATTGCTCACAGCCAACTGAACTGGCACAGTAATGCTGTAGAAGCTGTCTTCTGGATTCTACTGATCCCTTATGATCCTTAGCAGGGCTTAGAGCCTAATGACTTTACATACACTGGGTATGAAAACCTCTTTGTAATCGTTCTACTTGCAGGCAATTTTCTTCAGTTAACATGGCAGCCGTGGGCTATCCTAAATGGAGGCTGAACCAATTTAAGTACCGAGGGAAAAATATATCTGTAAGTATGAAGTATCTGCTTCATTTTATCAATGACTAGAATAGTAAAAAAGCACATGACTAAAATATATCAAAAATAGAATAAGTTTATGAATCATCAAGCCAGCCTGGACAACTTAGTGACTTGGTGAAGCCCCGTCTCAAAATAAAAAAATACAGAAAAGGCAGGGGCTATAGTTCAGTGGACAGACAGTGGGATTCAACTGTGGTACCACTACCAAAAAAAAGAAAAGAAAAGTGGAGATGTAAAGAGATATAAAGGGTAATAAGGTAAATATACCAAGATACTCTTTTAAGTAGGTCTCTCGGTAATTCCTGCATAATGCTTTCTATTTTTCAGTGTGTTTGAGATTCTCATAATGAAATATTGAAAGCGGAGAGGACAAAATGCATTGACTTAAGAGTCAACCATGTGCGCAATAAAATCATTCCCACGTCATCTTGAAACTGATTCACTTCAGAGCTCCAGTTTCTTCACCTATAAAACAGGGCTACTAGCCACCTCTGAGAGGCTGCAGAGTGGCCTCAGTGCCAGTTCTGCAGAGGCTGAGCTGTAGCTGGCTGTTCATGTCTAGGAGGTTTATCAAAGGCCTCAAGTGTTGGCACACTGGTCCAGCCAGCAAGCATGCCTTGCAGCAATAGGACTCAGACAGAAAGTCCTGGTTAGTCTCATTGCTGGGGTGAGGACAGGCATAGAGGCAGGGGCCTGCGTCATGTGTGGATTCTAACTCACATTCGGTTTCTTTGGTCGCATAGTTTGTGGCTCCAGCTCTGTGTCCTACATCTGTGTATCTTGGAAAATATCTCATAAGATTGTCTACATCTTGGAAAACAGAAAGGCAGCTGAGGATGAAGGAACTCGATGGTTACAGTAGTCTGGTTATGGCACCATCTAAAGCCAAATCACTTTTAATGGTAACCCTCTCCAGAATGCATGGCTGTCTGGCTTCCAAGACCACTGCAGATTAAAAGAGACCAGCTAGAAGAAAGAAATCAAGTATTTCATGCAGGAAACAGGAGGAAGGGGCACCAGGAGACTCAAAGAAGGGAGAATCAACCTTGGTTTGTGGGAAGGTCCTACTCAGTGATGGGGCCCTAGGCTTTGCCTTGTAACACCACAATCGCTTTGTTTTCAAGCAAGAATTAAATAGCTTGTTTAAGGAACAGAAGTATCTAATATGTATTAACTTCCCTATACAGTCATATACTGCATAGCAACTTTTTTTGCTGACTTAGCCTGCTCTGAGGGCAGGGCTGGCATGGCATGTGATGCTGGGGATTGAACTGCAGTCCCCTGCACCTGCCTAAGCTGGCCTAAGCAGGTGCTTTAGACTGCTGAGCTATCTCACTGGCCCTGCATAGCAGCAACATTTTAACTAATGACAGGACACATATATGATGGTGTTCCCATAATATTATATGGCCTAAGGACCTCATAGCCATCTTTGTGTAAGTACATTCTGTGATGTTCACTCAATGACAAAATTATCTAATAATCCAGTGCTCAGAATGTATCCCATCCTTTAGGAACACATGATTGTAATTACTATTTGAAAGTCTACAGCTTCACCTCATTTACCCAGAAAGTTTGGAAGCTTTTTCCAGGATTTTCAATGCTGCAAATCTTGTGCTTATTGACTGATATTAGAAAAAGTGTCTTCAAAAACTGTTATTCTCCCTCAGTCTGTTGTGCATTTGAAACCTCTAGGACTGGATCAAGGTTGGAATGTCATGGTCAGTACACCTAGCCATGGCTGATCCCTAACAGGACCTAGTTGCACGTATTGAGCTCCTACTGGGAGGCCCAGGCTGGCTTATGCAGGAAGTGAGCATTCTCTGTAGGAACTAATCAGCATCGATGAAGGGGCTTTCAGAACCAGGGCAGTGAGATGCTTTACGGAGACGTCTTTATAGCTAAGAACACTGGCCCATCAAGGATGAACTGGGCCATCCCTTACAATGACAGGAAGACTGATTCCTAGAGGTAGAAAAACAGGAGGAAGCTCACGAGCTAAGTAGGAATGAGACAATTTACTGTGTGTGTTCCTAACTCTCCCAGCCTACTGCATCTGTAAAAATGAATCAGATGCTTTGAAACATGATCCAAAGCTAAATGGGGTAACTGCTGGCTCTCCAGTTCCTTGACTTTTTTTTTTTAAATAGTTTTATTGAGAAACAAATAGCAATGAGACAGTTTCAAGACTGATTAGTAGGACAGTTTCAATAATTAATACATTGCATATTGCTATCTTCTCAGTGTTTATTCATAGTACAAGATGCAGACATGATATCCTGTCCACAAACACCATTAGAATAAATCTTTCTATTCATTGAATTAAGAGAAAGTAGCTATATATCTATCTTACCTACTTTGAATATACAGATACAAAATTGTCCTTCATTTGTATCCCCCTTTTTTGGTTTAGTCTTGTCAGAAAAAGGTATAACTCTAATTGTTCTAATTGTCTTTTTTTCTTGCTAGGTGAGGCGAAGACAGAGGATTGCATTCAGCCTGGAGCTCAGGAAGGCCAAGAAAGATGAGCAGGCTTTCAAGAGAAGGAATATCACCTACCTCTCTCCTTACCCAGATTCTAAGAATACAACCAAAGAGGTATGTGAGAACGTGGTGTTTAGAGAAGTTGTGTGCAAAATCTATCTACTTGCTCTTTTCTCTGGCTTGAGAGTGTTTAGGTTTCAGAGTTCTCAGATTCTATCCGGAGGTCTTATAGAAGTAAAGAGCTCATGGATCTAACCAAAGTGCCCTTGTCAAAATCTAAGAGTCTCTACAAAATCACTATCTGAGAGATCTAAACTCTAATAGGAGTGGAGAAAGTGCTACTTCTAACTGAAAATTCACTTGCTACCCCAAGCCTGGGAATTTGGGAAATAAGGATTTAGAGATTCTGTCTCTATAGATGCCTCTCGTCCCTTCACCAGCCTTTCCTAAGACTTGAATGCTTTCTTTTGTGTTCCATCTTCCATCCTTGATAACCTTACTACGTGCAAATCCTAGATGTATTTTAAGGCCAGTCCTGCCTTTGTGAATCCTCAATGCCCTGACCAGGAAGTTTTCCCTCTTAGAATATCAGCATTGTTGTATCTAGATTCCATCTGTGGACACCACTGGCTGTATTTGCCTTTACTATTCATGTGTATCCTTTGCATCCTGCTGTGTATAGGGCTCTCGGAGGACAAAGATTGGTTCAATTCTGTCATGCGACTCTAATGATAGATTACCATTCATCCAGTGTAATGGTAAAATCATTCTCTGAATTGTCAAAGGGCTATGAGCCATATATCTATTTAGCTTCCATAGTAGTCCTTACAGTTTCCCCCAACCGAGGAAGGAATAAAACAAAGCTATGAAAAAAAAATCATTTTCCCTTTTATCCTGTATTAGCATATTTTAAAATTAAGACATAATTTACATATCCCTAAATCACCCTTTTAAAATCAGTAGTTTCTGTTATTTGCAAGGTTGTATAGTCCTCACCACTAGCTCATCTCAGAACATATTGCTTATCTCAGATAGAAACTCCATACTCATAGTTTCTAATTCTCTGAATCCCTTGACAAAGATGAATCTGCTTTCTGTCTCTATGATTTTAGCTATTTCAGACATTGCGTATAAATTGGATGATTGATAGGATTAAGTTTAGCATTTTCCACTCAGTGTATAATTTTCAAGGTTCATCCAAGTTGTAGCATGTATTCTTACTTTATTCTGTTTTGGCCGGATATCTGTGGTGTAGATAGGCCACATTTTGTTTGTCCATTCATTAGTTAGCAGCTATTTAGGTTGATTCTACTTTTTGGCTATTATGGCCAATGTTGTTATAACATTTGTGTCCAAGTTTTTGTAGGGCCTATGTTTACAGTTTCTTTAGTAATATATCTAGGAGTAGAATTATTGAGTTTTAAACTAACATTATGCTTAACTCTTTGTGGTATGCTGAGTAATGATCTTCCCAGATGTCTGCATCTCCTAATCCCCAGAACCTGTGATTGTTGCCATATGACAAAAGGGACTTTGCTAATGTGACTACATTACAGATCCTGAGATAGGAAGATTTTCCTTGACTATTTGGGGCGGGGTTGATGGCACCACAGTGGTTCTTACCAAGATGAAGAAGGAATCAGAGCAGAAAGAGATGTCACATCCTTTGATAATGGAGGGACAGGTCACAAGCCCAGGAATATAGGCAAGCCTGCTAGAAGATAAATGGGAGCAGAAATAGAGTCCCTTTTCAGGCACTCCAGGAGGAATCAGCCTTCCTAACACCTTGACTTCAGCCCAGTGACACTGATTCTGAACTTCTGAGGCTATCTGGACAGTAGGAGATTAAGTTTATGTTGTTTTAAACCCCTATTATGGGCATCTTTATAGTAGCAAAAAGCTAATATGCTGCTAAACTGTCTTCCCAAGTGGCTGCACTGTTGTACACTTTTACATTCTTAACAAAATTTGTTACTGTCCATTAAAAAAAAAAAAAAAAAAAAAAAAGCCCTCTAGTGGTCACAAAAGGGATGCGTTGTGATTTTGACAAGTTTTCCTAACAATGAATGTACAGGCTTTCCTGGACTTGTGGGCTCTTTGTATGTCATCTTTGGAGAAATGTCTGTTTACACTCTACACCCATTTTACTGATCTAGGAATTTTTTTTTACAGTATTGGGAGAATGAACTCAGGGCCTGTACACTAAGCTAAATTCTCAACCATTTTCTAAATTTTTGAGGCAGCATCTTGCTAAGTCATTAAGTTCACTGGGCTAGGCTAGATAGAACTTGCAATCTTGTTGGGCTGGGAAGATGGAAGATGGCTCAGTAGAATAAGTGCTTCCCTGGCAAGTGCAAGGGCCTGAGTTCAATCGCTGGTTCCACAAGGAAAAAAAAAAATTGCAATCTTCCTGCCTCGTAATCCCAGAGATCTGGGATTATAGGATTGTGCCACCATGCCCAGCAAGTAATTTGTCTTACTGAGTTTTAGGAGTTCTTTCTATATTATGCATACTAGACTATTTAATGCGAAGATTTATGCCTATTTTTTCTCCTAAGAATTTTGTAACTTTAACTTTTATGTTTATAGTGTTGATCCATTTTGAGAGAATTTTCATAAATGATATGAAAATCAAATTTAGTCTTTTGCGTGCGATATCCACCTGTCCTAGCACCATTTTTTGAAAAGGCTACACAGTCTCTGTCTATTATCTGGTCTTAGCACCAGATTTTTAACAATCACCAAATGATTGTTAAGAATCATTTGAGCTGGGTGTCGTGGCATATGCCTGCAATGGGAGACTGAGGCAAAAGGATTGCCTCAAATTCCAGGTTAGCCTGGGGTACATAGCGAGATCTTGTCTCAAAAAAAAAAAAAAAAATTTAAAATTCAATTGACCACAAGGGTGAGGGTTTATTTGTGGACCCTAAAGTCTCTTTCATTGATTTTGATGTTTCTTTATGCCAGTACAACAGAGATTGATGACCCCAGCTGTGTAGTAGACTTTGAAACTGGGAATTGTGAGCCACACATCTTTGTTCTTTCTGATATTGTTTTGGCTCTTCTGCATCCTTGTATTTGCCTGTGAATTTTATTTTTACTTTTGTGGGGCAGGGTATTAGGAAGTGAACCCAGGGCCTTCACACTGAGTTACATTTCTCACCCTTTTAATTTTTTAAAATTTTGACACAGGGCCTCACTGTGTTACTAAGTTGCCCAGTCTGGGCTCAAAGTTGCAATGCTCCTGCCTGAGCCCCCCCAGTGTGCTGGGGTTCTAGACATATACCACGATACTCGCTTCTGAAATCAGCAAGTCAATTTCTTCAATAAAGGCACTTAGATTTTGAAGATGATTGCATGAATTAATAGAGAAATCTGTAGCCTACTTCCATGTCAGTAATGTTGTCTTTCAATTAATGGACATAGGATTTATTTTATTTTGTGTTCACAGCTGCAGGTTGAAACCAGGAGTGCTCTACTAAGCTATACTCCCACCCCCTTAAATTTTAGGACAGGTTCTTATTAGATTTCACAGGCTGTGCTTGCACTTGCAGTCCTCAGGCCCTGATCTCCCAGAATTCTGGGATTACAGGTGTGTGCCACCACACCCAGTTGACAATTTATTTTGGCACATCAATCTAGCCACACACTTGAACTTGTTTATTAGCTCTAAAATTTTGATGGGAATTCCCAAGTTATTAATATTATTCCTGATCTTACAGGGGTGGCTTTCAGTCTTTTATCATTAAATACAAAGATAGTTATGGGATTTCTGTGTTTTTACTACAGCGATAAAGTTCCCTTTTATTTCTAGTTCCTTGAATGTTTTTCTCACAGAAAGGTTTTGTCAAATGAACTTATTGAGATGAGTATGTGGGTTTTTCTTCCCTTTATGTTACTATGGGTCAGACATTGATTTCATATGTTGAATCACTCTTGCGATCCTGGGTTCAATCTCACGATGATCAGTATGTTAACTATATGTTCATATATCGATACGCTTAGTTTCCTAGTATCTTGTGGAGGATCTTTGCATCCGTAGTGGTAAAGGGTCTTGGTGTCTACTTTCCTCAAAACGTCTTTGGCCGGATGGTATTGCCATGGTTTGGATATCATTTGAATGTGTTCTTCCAAGGTTCATGTCTTGGAACTTTGGTCCCAGTGTGGCAGCACTGAGGTGGTGAACCTCTGTGACAGTGATGGCTGTCTCAGTTACTTTTCTCTCATTGTTGGGACAATATACCTGGCACCCAAAATTAAGAAGGAAAAGGTTTATTTAGCCCACAGTTCTGGAGGGTTCGGTCCACACTCAGCTGGCTCTAAGGCTGAGTGGCGCATGGCAGAGGGCAGTAGTTGATGAAGGTGGAAAACAGCAAAGAGCAAGGGGAGGAGCCGCGGTTGGCAACTAGCAAGCCTATCTCCCTTCTCTTCAGGCTGTCCGCCCCAGGGTGGGTGTAACACTCACACCCATAATCCCAGCATTGTATCCTGAGCTAATCACAAACCCTAGAAGCCTGACCCAATGACTGCATGAGGCTTTGCAGGGTGGGGTGAGGGGGTAGGGGGTAGGGGGTAGGGACGGGGACAACTAGACACAAACCACCACACTGGCAAATGTCTTAGAGCTTTTAGTGATACAAACAGCCTGCTGCGCCATGCGTGCGATAGGTTCACCACAGCAGCTCTTAGATGGAGGGAAGTGGGGGGTGTGGTGGGGTGATGGCGGGAGGTCATTAGGTCACTGTGGACATCAACATCAGAAAGGGTTAGGGTAGTTTTTGCTGGATGGTAGTTAGCTCTCATAAGAACAGGCTGCCCTCAAATGAAGCCCCTGTCTGTCTGCACTTGGCCCCTCCCCCACATCACCACCCTTTCTGTTCCTCTCTCATGTTGCGATACAGCCAGAGGATCCCCAGCTAGGATGTCAATGTCCTGGTGTTTAGACCTGCTAGCTGCCAGAATTCTGAGCCAAACAAACCTTTTCACTTTAGTAGGTACCCAAACTCGGATATTTTGTTATAGCAACAGGAAATGGATTAATATAGTTACCAAGGCAATACTGACCTCAAAGAATGAGTTAGAAAAGTCACCACTCTTCTGTTTCTTTAAAAGAGTTTACAGGAAATTGATGTTGTTTATCTATTTTTAGTATTTGAATAAATTTTTCTAGAAGGCATCTGGTCTTAGGCTTCTCTTTGTGGCTTTTTATTTTTATTATCACTAATTCAATCTCTTTTCTCGCTGTAAGTCTATCCAAATTTTCTATTTCTTGTCACTCTTGGCTGTTGTGCATTTCTAGGAATTTATCTTTTTGATCTAAATTATTAAATTTTGTGGCATATGTTTGTTCATATTTCCCTTATCTTATTTCTGTAAGCTCAGTAGTAATTTCTTCACTTTTAGTACTGATTTTGGTGACTTGGATCCTCTTTCTCTTTGTCTGTCTGTCAGTCTTTTTTCTCCTGCTAAACAACTTTTAATTTGATTGACTTTGCTCTATCTTCCCATTCCTTATTTTCAGTTCCCATTCTTCTTTCTTCTGCTAGCTTTGGGCTTGAGAGTTTTCTCACTAGTTTTGCAGAGAAAGAAAATTCTAGAACTCCTTAGTACTGCCCTCCTCTTCTTTGTCTTGATACCCACTAGCATACTCTCACTGCTTGGGATGAAAAGGTGCTAGGAATCTGGTGATAATAGGAATCACCTCTTTTCTATGAAGAGATGGAGGGAGGGAAGCAGAAGAGGAAGTACAAATGAATTAAGACGTGCTCTGTATGTGCACCGATTCCCCGTGATGAACAGTAATCACTATGTACTGCAAACATGTATTAGTAAAAATTTTAAGGAGGAGTTACTCATTCCTAAAGCATGGAAAGTGTCACACTGTGGCTATAAAAACTATGGAGTACTGGATGTCCTTCCCTCCTCTAATACAGGCCATTAGGGACAATAGGGTAACCTGTTTAAGCCAAACATTTTTTGCGGGTCTTTTTGAGACAAGGTCTCACGATGCAGTTCAGGCTGGCCTTGAGCTCACTTTGTAGCCTAGTCTGGTCTAGAACTAGCTACAATCCTCCTGCCTCAGTCTCCCGAGTTCTGGGATTATAGGTGTGTGACACCACACTAGGCCTTATGCCAAACTTTGAATCAAGATAGATAGTTAGATTATATGATGTGCATGCTGCCTTTTGGCAGAGATTCTTGACCTGAATGTTTCTCTCTTTCCAGGTCAGACTCACAATGGATGAAATCATCATAGGTATAAATGACTCAGATTTTGAGGTATGCTTCGAGGCCACCCGGGAAATCAGGTATGACCAAGCCAACTTCTCCTTGCAGGTTTATAGCCAGCAATGAGCTGCAGAGGCCTATTTAGTTTCTTGGCATTGGCAAAATGCCCATAACATATAGGAAAAGGCTAATCTATCCACAAGTAAGACTAGATTGCTATGCCACACCGTCCTTGAGGGCAACTTAAAAGATGCAATGTGTTGTCAGAGATGAATTGCTTAATTTACATTTGTCTCTACAGGAATTTGAGCTCATAGATAATACCTGAAGGGCAAAATGTTGCTTTATTGCTGTAAAGTGCTACAGGCTAGGCAAGGATATTAAGTAGCTCTGGCCCAGCTGTTTATCTCATCTGATAGTTAGGAATGCCAAAAACATCTAGAAAGGAGGTCCTTACCACTTCCTCTATGTGACTCTCTCCACTCTCTCTCATTGCACAGGAAAATGCTATCCCAGGAAAACAATCCTCCTCTCGAAATGGTTGCTGAGTCAGGGGTCATCCCCAGGCTGGTGGAGTTCCTGAGGGTATCCCAACACCCCTATTTGCAGTTTGAGGCAGCCTGGGCTCTGACCAACATTGCTTCGGGGACTTCAGTGCAGGTCGGAGCAGTTGTGAAGGGGGGTGCCATTCCACCCCTCCTTGAGCTCCTGTCTTTCCCCAGCACAATGGTGTGTGAACAGGCAGTGTGGGCACTCGGTAACATAGCCGGTGAGATTTTCCTCTTGATGGGTATAAAAGCAGGTGTGCAGGGTGTAGGGGAGTTCGTGGGATAGCATGCGATACTTGATATTCTGGAACCCCTCCCAGTATAAATACCTAGAAGTGCTGGGAAGGGTACAATGAGCCATTGCAAAATTTGGAGCCAAGTTCAGAGACCAAAAATTGAAACTAAAACTCAATGATGCAGCACATACTAAATCAACAGGCTGCCTAGGGACATCTGCCAATATCACAGCGCTAGAACCTGAGGGCTTCATGGCTCTGAGAACAAAAGCCAAATTTTTGGCAGTGTAAGGACAGATCCTTACATAATCCAAGACCCTAACAGTGCACACACCTCCACTGAAAGTACTAAGGGAATACACACAATTTTCCCTGAGTTTAGGACAAAAGTTCTTTCTTGAAAATGCATGCTTAAACCTCTCTGCATGATCAGGGAAAGCTCAAGTGAGAGGGTTAGTGCTGCAGAGTTAGAAGCCCCCAAATTCCTGGCTGAAACAAATCCTGATGCTCTCTGGCAAAGACTCAAACTCAACTGGGCCCCTCAGGAGTTTGACAAATTAAGATCAGCCAGATATAACAATTTCAAGTTGAGAGAAGTAGCAACTCACCATGGCTGAGTCAGCAAAACACAAATACGATGAGAACTCTAATGACTTCAGATCTTGGAATTAGCAAACCGAGTATAAAACAAGTGCTTTTCAAGATGCTCGCAGAAGTAATGCATCTATTACAGCGATGTCTCTCCTGTTGCTTGGTTCAATAAGGGAAAGGCAAGCCGGGGAAGTATAATGTGACTTCTACCTTGCTTTGATGGCTGAGGAATTCAAATGGACACTTAATGCTAGGATCTGAAGTAGGTACGCTAGCTGAAGCTGCAGACAGTCTATTGCCAGTCCCTGTTGATCCCTAGAGTTTGTCCTGAATTGTACTTGGAGGTTCCTGTCCCATGCCAGAGTCTTCTGGGAAGATAGCCTGTTTGCACTAGACCTGGTCGTCCTAAGAACCACACTTGGAAGTGCTGTCAGCATTTATAATTTCCCTCCTGGACTGAGCTGGCTGTCCCCTTCACGTGCTGACAGCATCTGTTTATAGCAGTTGTGCCTCTAGGAATGTCAATCCAACAGGCATTTTGTAGACTCCGGATCTAGTACACTGTCTCCTGTTTACTTGCTAAAACCTCAAGAATGAGTTTTAGTCTTTCATCTTTTGCATAAACTTTTTTTTTAAAGAGTCACACTTAGTTACTCTTTTTTCTGAGTGTCACATTCTGACCTATCTGCAGGTGATGGGCCAGAATTCAGAGATACTGTTATCTCCAGCAATATTATCCCTCGTCTGTCAGCCCTGGTTTCGTCACCCATATCAGTGAGTGTCTTCAAATCAGAAAAGCTAGCTAGGTAACAAGTTCTCAAGGCTGAGAAGTTGGGGGAAGTACTTCGAAACTGACTCTAGATCTTGTGGTTCCTATGATAGAGATGACTCATTTTGGTAGATAGAGGTCTAGGATAAAGTATCATTTTGTGGGAAAGATTGACCCAAATTTGTACTTATGGGCTAGTAGTGCTAATCTTTCTTCTGAGGATATTAGCAGACTTCCATTAGAATGTTTCAAGGCTTACCATCCTGCCAACAGATGACCATGAGCTCTGTTCAAGGACAAAGACAGACATAATAGCTCTCTAGTTTTGTTCCTGAGAACCAGGGTCTAGGGTTGAAGCTCAGAGTCAAAGTGGAATGCTATTTTGTAACTAATGCTACAGGACACCCCAGTTTAGGAACTTTGTGCTAGATTTGCTTTAAAAAATGAGGAGAAGCCAAGAGAATAAACGCCAAACCCTTCAAAGTGGGAGAATATTTGGAAGGTTGAACCAGAAAAGGGCTAACCAAGACCAAGGGAGTTTGCAAAGAGAGAGAGGTATGTCGTGGCAAATAGGATAAATTTCTTTGATACCATCCTGGTGGCAAAAGGAGCCTTTGTAGGGCATTAGGGCAGGAAGCAAGGTGGTCTGATCAGTCTGGCTGCCTGCAGTAGGGTTATAGCAGAGAGAGCTGGCAGGCTTGTGCACTGGGAGGCTGCTGTGCTGTGCTGGATGTAGGAGCCAATGAAGCAAAGATGCTCCCAGGCTTCAGGGTAGCTTGTGTAGATGACTTTCCTCCTAGAAAAAGAAAGATGGAGGAAAAGGGGAATCAGCTTTCATTATAAATGTTGAGCTTCATTACTAGTACTATGACTGACATGGCAGGTTGACAGCTATGCTGATCCAGATTACTGTACTGCTCATGGGTCATCCAGCTGGGCAAGGTCAACTATAGCAAGAGTCAGAAAACTTAACCCGACTAACTGCTTGTTTTGTAAATAACATGTTATAGAGCAGTCACACCTATTTGTTTATCTAGCATTTATGGTCATCACTGTTATGGGTAGTTACAACAAGAGACCATAAAGTGCACAAGACGGAAATGTTCACTGCATGACCCTTGCCAGCCACTTACCAATCTCAGACCTACGGTGGGCGGAGCGGGAAGCTGAAGACTTGCAGGCTGTAAGGTTCCAGGCAGAGCCTACCAAGACGATGAAAAAAAAGCTCATTTGAAACCAGGTCTTATGTGATTGTGCCAAGGAGATCTTTCTTGAAAGAGTGGTTGGCTCAGTACAGCTTAGAGGGACAGGAGTTTTAGACATGAGAAGCACCTATTGGATCAGGGGCCTTAGAAGGATCCATCACTGACTGTAAGGAAGTAGGGGCAGACACCAGGTGAACACGGCTTGAAGAACAAGTAGGGAGCTGGCAGTAGACTGCATAAACATACCTCCTTAAAACTAGGCATAATGGTGAATGCTTCTAATCCTGGCTCAGAGGGAGGCTGAGGCAAAGACACTGCAAATTCAAGATGTGCCTGTGCAATTTTTCTCTAGATCAATGATGGCAGGCCTTTCGGAGCTTTCAGTGATAACACACAGCGCACTGTGGCACATGTGCCATAGATTTACCACCACAGTTCTAGATGATAGAGATAAGTGGATGGATAGATCTTATAGATAACGTAGGCAGACTGATCAAATGAACCAACAAATGAACTAGGGATGTAGCTCAATGGTACAGCATCTATGGGTTTAATCCCCAGTACTGCCGAGAGTGGGGGAGAGAATGAAGTGGAGAGGCAGAGACAGAGACATACATAGAGAGAGGTGGAGGGAAGGGAGGGAACCCTGAGAAAGATCTAAAGAACAGGAACAGAACTAGGGTGGTAGCTGGAGAGGTGCCAAGGGATGGTGGGAGGAGCGGGCTGAAGGTCGCAGAGTGAGTTTCTATACTTGCGGGAGAGATCAGGGGAGACATAATTTTAGGGGCAAAGTCTCTAAGGGCATAAAGTGATGGGACCTAGAGGCAGAGTAGGGAGGTTGATTTTTAAATAGAATATAAGAAATACGATTAAGACATGTTGACAGTTATAGGCTGGCCAAAAGACCAAGTTACTCCCACTTGATCTTTTTGTTAATGAGAAAATGAAATCAGGACTTCAATCGAGTAGAACAGGAAAAGACATTTTGAAAAATAAGAAAACCTCCATCTAATATTTGAATATGAAATTTAAAACTCATTCTTTGTTCCCAATACACATTGCTACCTAGAACAAGTTTCTATCTGAAACTCAAAAATTTTGGTTCATAGGCTGGTGAGATAGCTCAGCCATCTAAAATGCCTGCTTAGGCAAGCTTAGGTAGGTGCAGGGGACTGTGGTTCAATCCTGGGCACCACATGCCATGCCAGCCCCACTTTCAGGGTGGGCTGAGCTGGCACTCCCCCCAAAAAATTCTTTTGGTTCATGCTGATCAATAATATTGGTCAGGGATGGGAGGAGCAAACTACATGCATCTTTCCACCGGATGCTGGAAGCAATCTCCTCTTTTCAGATCACATTTCTACGGAACATCACATGGACCCTGTCCAACTTGTGCCGATACAGGAACCCACCCCCTCCTGAGAATGCAGTGAAGCAAATGCTGCCCATCCTTTCCCACCTCCTACAGCATGAGGATGACGAAATTCTCTCGGACACCTGCTGGGCCCTGTCCTACCTCACTGAAGGCTGCACTAAGCACACTGCCCTAGTGATTAAAACAGGGGTCCTGCCCAGGCTGGTAGAGCTCATGACCAGCTCAGAACTCAGTGTCGTGGTAAATATCAATGTGGGTCCTTTCCGTCTCTGTAGGGGTCTTCAGATTAGAATCTATGTGTCAGATTCACTTTACTAGGTTCTGTCTCTGTGGCTGTAGGACTTCATAGTTGGCTTTAATCTTTTTTTTTTTTTTTTTTTTTTTGAGACAAGGTCTTGCTATGTATGTATCCAGGATTGCCTTGAACTCACAGCAATCCTCTTGCCTCAGCCTCCTGAGCACAGGGATTGCAGGTGTGCGTCATCACACCTGGCTCTAATCCTTCATCTGGAACAATTTGTCACCTGTGTTCCCCGGTCTTTGCCATTTTTGCCCAAGGATTCAAATCTGTTTTGGTCAAAACTCTTGAGTGTTAAATAACTTAATCTGATAACCAAAAAGAAAAAAGTATCAAGTGAAAATATTTTATAATCCTGCCACCTAGGGAGTTACTCTTGATCTTTTCCTTTTAGTGGTCTATGCATTTGAACTTAAGTTAGATAATACAATGCATGTTACATGTATGTTTTTTGTGTGTATGTGTCCTCATTGTAGCATTTGAATTTTTTACACAATATGAACATTGCCTCTTACCCTCTCTTTAATTTGTTCTTGGATTACCTAGATACAAGCAAAAAAGGAAGTAAAACCATTTTTGGGGGGTGGGGGAGGAATAGAACTCAGGACCTTGTGCATGCCAGGCAGGTGCTGTACCACTGAGCTATATCCCTGTCCTGGTAAAAACATTATTAAGCAAGTAAAATCATCAAAGATTTTGCTAGGTTACTAAACATACCAACTATATAGTGTACTCTCATATTGTTCCATCTCTCACTTGAATGGCAGGCATGTATCCTAGAAGCCTGGGAAAACTTTAGAACTCTTGGTGGGCTTTTCCAAGGGCCACTACTACAGTACAGAGAAATCCAAATAAATCCATGCTCAGTTCTCCCAGGATAGTTTTTATCTTAAGCTCTACCATGGACCCAACCTGGTGACCTTCAGAGTTATTGTGAGATATTTGTGAGTGTACCAAGAAATGCCATTTGGACCTTATTAAATTCCAATGAAATATACAACAGAAACTTGATACTGGTGATAAATATATATTCTGTAGAAGTTATGAGGTGATAGACACTGCAACTTAGTTTTTTACCCTGTTGAAAGCATGTAATAAGGACAGAAGCATTTATTTTTGTTGTGAGGCAGAGTGTCACAATGTAGTCCACACTGGCCTCACACTTGCAATTCTCCTGCCTCAGCCTCCCAAGTGCTGGGGTGACAGGCCAGTACCATCACAGCCAGCTTACTCCATGACGCAGCTGTGCCTTGTCCTCTGTGTTACCTGAACCAGAACTTTCGGGAAGCAGGCAGGTACCTTGATACAATGTGAGAACTCCCATGAATGTGTTGGCTCAATAAAGACCATAGATAAAATATTACGGTTCACATGGTTCTAGAAAACCAACAGCATGGCACAACCAATGATTAGAAGGGCACAGAAATAGACGTGATTTTCTGCTTTAACTGCAATAGATTTGCGATGCTGAGTTAGACTTCTAACCTTGTACTTCCAGACCCCTTCTCTCCGCACTATGGGGAACATTGTCTCCGGGACAGATGACCAAACCCAGATGGCCATCAATGCAGGCATGCTGAAGGTGATGGCCAAGCTCCTGCAACACCCAAGGTCCTCTGTCCAGCAGGAAGCAACCTGGACCCTGAGCAACGTGGCTGCTGGGTCCCGCTGTCAAATCCAGGAGCTGATCACTCATGATTTGCTGCCTTCTTTGGTAACTCTGCTAAGACATGTAAGTGGGACACTCTGGAACCAACAAAAGGCTACCTTCCTATGGCCCTGAATTCCCTCAGGAATTTAGACATAGGTAAGAATCAAATCAATCAACATCACAAGAAAGCTCTGAAACCTTAGGTTCTGGGCTCTGTCTAGGAGCAGAAAGAGACCCATTATTTTCAAAAACTCACTGAGCAAGTATTGTTCATTGGAAAGGTGATCTTACAGCTCAAACATCTGGAAAAATCTGCAGCTGGTAAATATTCGCTTATCTCTATGGGATGGCCAAAGAATGTATGGTCTACTCTCTACCTACCAAAGGAGGAAGGAGATTTGGTTTTGTTTTCATAAGAAAAACTTACCAGGCCACCATGATGTTATACAATGAACAGGAAAGTGACCTTTTCAGAGCACAAATGAAATTGATTAAAGTGGTAATCTCAATGAAAAATTCAAATGTGACAGTAAAATAGAAGTTCCTTCCTCCTCCCGATACTTCCTTTCTGCAGGAGTAATTACTGTCAGCAGTATTTCCTTTCACCACCTTTCAATGAAAGGACTACCACGAAGCCACCTGTGGTTATGGATGGTCACCTTGCCCTGAGAATGAGAGGCAGGTGGTGTGCCCTGAGGAGGAGAGGTTGCTGGCTTCTCTGTTCTGAGGTTGAAGGACAGAATTCCAGGTGCGGGTCAGGTAGCAAAAGCAGCGCAGGTGTGCAGCCCAAGTTGTGGCATGTTCCACTCACTCCAGCACTTCCTAGCCTACATTCTACTGTCTTTACTTGTTTAATAAGCAATATCCAGTTATAAATCAAGTAGTCCTCATTCTTCAAACCACGTCTTTTGAACTAGAACTTGATAGGGACCATAAATTATTTGTTTTTATCTGTTCTACCCTGAGGCCAATTTTCCCCAACCATAAAATAAACCTTTTTGTACAGGAATAGAAGGAGCCGTGATAAACTATATCCAAGTCTCTGGGCCAAGTGCTTTTTGTACATGTAAAGGATTCATTGAACAATATTTCAGGGATCCCTCTCTGTTATTTCTGGCCTGATGTGATCAGTCTCCTAGATCACATCTATGCCCTGCTATATGATTTATCTGAAGTTGTACTGTATCAAAAAGATTGGAAATATAGATATAGACCACTATTTTCTAGAATCCAAGGCTTATAGATTATCTAGGTTGGTTTATGTTGGTTATATTTTCCCCATAGGTTGACGTAGGGAAAGGAGTCTACTTGATCTTAGGACCTCCCTGGAAGACCCTACTGGTTGCTGGGATGGTTTCATGGCTTCTCAGATGCTGCCTTGCCGTCTGGAAGGCAAGCAGATAAGACCGCCTGCAGAGATTTCCTGTAGAACGCTGGTTGTCCCCAGCCTACCTCAAAAGTGAATCAAGTGAGCACACTGTTAGGTGCTTCAGGATCTGTAGCAAATGGACACACTATGTCTCTGCAGGGGCAATATAAAGTTCAGGAAGAAGTTGTCTGGATGTTGTCTAACTTCACATTGGAGGCCTCGGCAGACCAGCTCTTCCAGCTCGTTCACGTGGGATTCCTGGGGCCACTGTTGAATCTGCTCTCTTTTCCAGATGAGAGGATGTCCCTTACCATCCTCGATATCGTCTCTTCTATCCTCCAAGTGAGCTGTTGTCATTATGTGGGTTTGTAAACAGCAGTCTCTAGTTTAAGACATTTAATTCGGTTCTTGAAACACAAGTAGGATTCTGTTTCCTATCTGCTCACCGCCCCCTCTCGTCCTCAAGTCCTGTGGGCAACACGAAAAGAAACATCTCACAGAAGGACTGCCGCCTTCATTTTTGCAAGTGCACTCTTGGTGTCAGGCGCCTCTCCGCAGGCTTGGAGTAGCCTAGCACGAAGTTCTTGTTCTAGTGGAGCTTATGTGTTATTGGGGTGGGGGACAGACACTTGATGGAGGAAGTGCTGCATAGAGTAAATCAGATAAAAAGTAGTCACTCACCATGTATGGTGTTGCACACATATGACCCCCGCGTTCTGGGAGGCTGAGACAGGAGGATCACAAATGTGAGCCCAGCCTGGGTAACTTAGTCACTTAGTGAGCACCCGTCTTAAAAGAAAAAATACAATTCATGTCCTTGCAAGCAGCCCTCCTGCCCACCCTTCATATGTCTCTGCTGTACTGAGGTGTATTTTACATTTAAGGAAGAAAAAATAAATAAAAAGGGCCGGGAGTATAACAAAGGCCCTGGATTTGATCTCCAATATTGAAGAAGAAGAAAAAGAAGTCACCAATCACTCAGGAGGATGGGGATTAGACATGTCAGTGTACATGCGATAGTCCAAACAAAAAAACACGAACATTCTCTAAAGAGGAAGACTTGAATAGAGATCTGAAAGAGTCTCTCTCCTTTCTTTTTCTTTTATGGTGGAGGTGCTGGTATTAAGGAATGAATTGAGGGTCCTTATACTGAGCTACATTCCCAGCTTTCTTCTTCTCTGTTTTGTTTTAAATTTTAGAACCAGGTCTCACTCAGCTCCTAAATTGTCAAGTTGCCCAGACAGGGCTGGAACTTGAGATCCTCCTGCCCCAGCCTCCCAGAGCTTGGATTTCAGGTGTGTGCCACCACGCCAGCTGGGAGAATGAGTCTGTGGCTATCTAGAGAAGAACACTCTAGCAAAAGGACTAGCCAAAGGGGAGGGTGTGGCTGGAGCAAAGTGGTGGAAAGTGAGGGAAGATCAGGCCTAGGACAAGCAGAGGCCCGGTCCCAGAGGATCTGTGAGGATGCTAACTTCTACTAAATAAGGCAGAGGAACCTGTAGAGGGGCTAAGGAGGACAAGAGGCAGTGAGCCCCTGGCCCTTCTAAACAGTGTATGTGGAGAAGGCTAAAACACAGGAGATCTGTAAAGGGGCAGTGAGAAGTTAGCATGGGTTAATCTTGAGGGGGTCACGAGAAAGTTCCGACTCCATTCAACTCTGTGACTGAAGAAAAGTACTGCAAAGCAATGAACTAGAATTCTAGAAAAGTCCTAGTTCTGAAATAAAAGTTAAACTAATATTCAGATACTATTTCTGAGAGGTCTATATTGCTGTATAGGAAACTGTCTCTTAGTGACTTGAAGCAAACATCTATCTCCATTTCTGGGACCAGAAGTCTCAAGTGTGTTCAGCTGGGTGCTGCTGACTTGGCAGCTTCCACAGGGTTGACAGCTCACCCCTGCCACGTGGAGCTCTCCAAGGATTGCCTAAGCATCCACACATCATGGCAGCTAGTTTCCTCCACCAGAACAAACCACCTGAGGAAAGTTCCAACATCTTTTATGACCTGGCTTTGGAGGTCAGAGTGTCATTTGTAGTAGTAGCCTATTGCTTACAGGGTCAGCCTTATTTCATCTAAGGGGAAGCTATCCCAGGGCATGGATACCAGGAGTCAGCAATCGTCAGGAGCCATCTTGGAGGCTGGCTGTGTTCATTTGATTAAGCTCCTTTACATGTGGTGAAGCCATTTGAAAAGCTTCAAAGTAACACCAGGGAAATCCTTTTAAAAGTCTACTTTGAACATCCTTTTCATGTAACCATCTTGGAAAGAACAGACCTGATTTGAAACGGAGCCCAATTACAGCCCAAGACTGAGCAAACGGCAGGGATAAAAGATGGAGATTCAGCAACTAGCAGACAGGGCTAGACATGACAGTTTGCAAAAACCTCAGTCTGGGCTATAGAAATGTAATTTCATCTGCTTCTTTTGAATTAGAGATGGGAATTTTTTGTTTCAGGAAATCGCATTGGATGACCCAGCGAAGCCCCTGTATCAGTGATGGCAAACCTTTCAGAGCTTTCAATGATACGAATGGCTTGCTGTGGCATGTGTGCCGTGGGTCCCCCACTACTGCTTGGTGGCTGGAGGAGGAAGATCAAGGTGCTGCTGCGGAAAGCTCCCAGTGGACAGCAGAGTGCCACTGAAGTTTTGTAAAACAACTTCTGGGTCACTTGCTGTTCTGTGAAGATTCAGAACCCTCTCTCAGGGTTCCTATTGCTCTGGCTTACCCCTGAATTCCTAGTTTTGGTGTCTGAGGCTGACCACTTTACTCCTTGGTTCCTGCCTGGGTTTCTTTACTCTTAAATCAGTGACTTATTTTGAAAAACAGATCGGACCAGAAGATATAAAGGCTGGACATGCTGCTCAAACTTTCACCATTGATTCAAGCCAAACAATGTGGCTTAGATCACACTGAACTCAATCTAGAGGACTTTTGTTACTGCACACAAAGTACCAAAGCCCTCCAGGACATGACGCCATAGTTCTTTCTTTCTCTCTCCCCATGTCTGCTAAACATGCGGTTTTAGCTGAGCTACTCTCTATTGTAATCTACCACACTTCTTCAGGGCTTCACTCTCAGTGTCCCTTCTCTTGGGAAAGTTGCTATCCTGCTTCCTCGAGTCCCATTCACTAAGGGTCTGTGAGAACTTCAAGCCTGCTCTCTGCATCTTCTGTAAGCTCTGATAGTTTACTGCACGGCATTTTTAAACTATACTACAGCAATAATTAACTTGTTGCTCCAATAGTTATTGAGTTATGGAAAGACTTTCTCTAAGTTACACATGCACCTCCAGCTTTGGGTGCCTTACCCATAGAAAACAGACAAACATTTGAGTGACTAAATGACCTCCAATAATTAAGCCAGTGACCTATTGGATTAAATCCACTCAGCTTGTTTGTTCCAAGACTCTATTCTTTGCCATGTTGTGGCTTATGTGACTAAGGGTCTCCTGACTTACAAGATTTTTCAGGGAGTTCAGGACAGAATGCCTGCATTTATATAATGTTACTCAAACATTCTGAACTATATTTAAAACAACTCCCATTAAACAGAGGGAGTAATCTACTAAATAGCAATAGAGACATGGATATTGGTAGTTAGTAATATATTCAGAAAAAAAAATCCTTTATGAGCTAGTAGCCCAGAAATATTGTCTTGTGTAGTAAAATAGACATGCATTTTCATATAAATATTTTTGTTTTATAAAAATGCCCCTGCTGCCCTAGGCGCCTTGGGTCTGATCTCGCCAGGGGCTGCTCCCGTGAAGGCTGCTCAGAGTCTCACCATCTCTCTCTTGGTTCCCAGGCTGCCCAGAAACAGAGTGATAGGGAAAGCTTGTGTCTCCTGATAGAAGAACTCGGTGGGGTTGACAGACTCAAGGCTTTACAGCTGCACAACAGCTGGGACATCTCCTGGGCTGCGGAGGACCTCCTTGAGGAGTACTTCAGTGAGGTGAGTGATTTCCCAGTGAGAAGCCATGCCTGTGCATCCCAGGGGGCCACCTCTGCAGGTGACTCCCGCCCCCTCCCCGCATGCCACCACCAGGACCCTGCTCTGAATTTAGATGTGTGTCTTCCCACTCCCTGCTAAAGGGGCAGCCTGAGTGGACAAGCAGACTGGTCTCCTGGGAGCATGGCCTGTGACTCTGACTTAAGTCGTGTTTTATGTGCCTCCCTTTGGGGATGTTGGGAGGGAGAGGGTATGACATTAAAGTGATTTTCTTCCCAGGATTGCACACAAGGAAGGCAGGCCCCGCTTTTGAAAAACCAATTGGCCACTTTCTGCATTTTCTTTTTTCCCAGAATAGTTTTTGGAGATAAATTCTATAGAGGTTGCTTGGGTGTTCTGAAGGAACAGGGAAACATGATCAGATCACATTATGTATTCTTAAAAATAAGTCTAAAGTTTTCCTTTTTAGCCCCTAGCATACCTGCGCACGCGCACGTGTGTGTGTGTGTGTGTGTGTTGCACACACACATGTGCGGGAGGGGCAGGGAAGGGGAGAGAGAGAGAGAGAGAGAGGAAGGGAGAGGGAGAGAGAGAACAGTGTGTGTTACTGGGATTGAACTCAGAGCCTTTACACTGAGCTGCATGCCTCGCTCTTTATTTTTTGGTTTGAGACAAAGAGCTCATTAAGTTACCCAGGTGTTCCTGAAACTTGTGATCCTTTTGCCTCAGCCTCCCAGAATTCTGGGATTATAGGGATGAGGCACCACACCTGGTGTGTGCTTTACTGATACTAAGTACATGCACACCTGCAACTACCGCCACCATCCATCCACCTCCAGAACATTTTCATCTTCCCAGGCCGAAACGCCATACTCATTAAACACTCATTCTCCTGTGGATCACCCTGTCTGTCTGCCTGTCTGCCTGTCTGCCTGCCTGCCTGCCTGCCTGTCTCCCTGATAAAGGGTCTCACTACGCAGTTCAGACCCTAGTGATCCTCCTGTTTTCTGCCTCCCTAGTGCTGGGATTACAGGTGTGCTCCACCATGCCCAATTTCAGGGCCAGCACAGATATGGTACTGGGAATGGAACCCAGGTCCTTGCTCTTGCCAGGCAGGCACTGAGGCTGCTGAGCTATCTCCCAGCCTGGTGGTCACAATTCTATGTTCTGTTTCTATGGGTTTGAGTTTTCTCAGGACCTCATAGCAAAATTGCACAATACTTGTCCTTTTGTGGCTTATTTTCCTTTAGCTTAATGTTTGTAAGGTCCACCCATGTTATGGCATGTATCAGAATTTTTATCTTTTTTTAGTGAAGGATAATATTTCACTCTATGTATATATCATATTTTGTCTATAATTTATCCATCAATGAACCTTTGTGTTTCTAACATTTGGCTATTAATAATGCTGCTAATATTTATTCACTCATTAATGACCATGAGTGAACCAAGACCTGTTAGAGGCCTTGCTTTCAATTCTTTCAAATATGCATAGTGCCTCAGTTCATAAACTTAATTTGTTTTCTGATTTTGCAAGAGGTGGACACATTTGTATTTGTGTGGAAAGATTTCTGTGGTTGAGTTTGTCACCTGATGCAGTGTTTGGAAATAAAAACAAAATTTTGCAAGACACTTCTTTCTGAGAAAAAAATTGTTTGCAAACAAAAGCATTTATGAACTGAGGTACCACTGTATGTCTGTCTGTACATTCTTTCAAACATAATTCTATGTATCTCATTTCTCTCTGTTTCTTTCGATCTGTCTAGAAGTAGAATTGCAGTATTATATGGTAATTCTATTAATGACTGTTGGAGAACTGCCATTCTATTTTCCATAGAGCGTGTACCACCATTCACCATTATACAGCTTCCTCAATTCTCTACACCCTTGCCAACACTTGTTATTTTCTGATTTGTATGATAATAGCCATCTTAATGGATATGAAATAGTATCTTGTGATTTTGATTGGCATTTATATTAGATATGTGTTCCTCCATTTTCTGTTGCTATAACAAATTTCCCAAAGCTGAGTATTTACCAAGAAAAGAGATTTGTATAGCTCACAGTTTTAGAGGCTGAAGGTCCAAGATTTGGCAGCCCCATCTGTTTGGTGACTGCTCCCTTGGCTATAACAAAACATGGATAACAAGAAGGCGAGAAGGCGCATGGTGAAACTGGAAGCAATAGGGATTCAGGGACCAGATTTTGTCTTTTTATAGCAATTCACTGCAATGGAAACTAACTAGGGTCCCTCAAGAACATTAATCTCTTTGTAGTGTGAAGCCACCAGTGACCCAACCACCTTGCACTAGGTCCTCCTTTATAAACAAGAAAAGATTCCATTCCTTAGGCACCACCATACTGGGGATGAGAATTATAGCACATGAGCCTTTGGGAAGAGTAGGACACACACAAACTAAATCCCAACCCTAGTAAATGTTTTCATGTGCAGAAGACAAGGTCAGATTCTTAATTGGCCAGGTAAACTTAGAACTAAGAGTTTATGAGTGATGTTTCAGTTTGGTGTCAAACTGGAATCATCCACAAAACTGTAATCGCATGATATAATCAATATAACCAGGTGGGTAGTGGTTGTAAACTAGAGGTGGCTAATCTTGATTTAAGCCTGAGAGAATGCTCCAGAGCAAAGAAGACCGAGTGCAGTCATGAGCATCTTCTGGGTTAATGGTTTCTATGGAAACCTCATAAATAGGAGATGGAGCCCATGAAGACTATTCGGTCCCTGGGTTCATGCGTAAGCTCTAGGTTAAAGACATCTGATCCATAATTAAGAGCTAACCCAACTAGACTTATATTCACTGTAAGGATAGTGGTCTGTGTGTAAAACTACATTTAAACATAAGCCAGTAACAAAAGGGCAAATGTTGTACAATTCTGTGTTGTGAGGTCCTTAGAACAATCAAATTCAGAGCCAAGATAGAATGAGTAGAGGTTTAGAGTAGAGAGGGTAAAGGACAGTTAGTGTTTAATAGAGACAGAGCTTTAGTTTTGCAAGATGAAAAGGTTCTGGAGATGGATGATACTGATAACTGAATAAGCATATGAATGTTCTTAATGTCGCTAAACTGTCTGCTTAAAAAGTGAAGATGGTTATTATTTTACCACACACACAACTGCATATAAGGTCCATCCTGGGGAATATTTCAGCACTCTGCTCCCTCAACCTCTCTGAAGGGACTCAAGTCCCAGTTAGAATAAATTTGAGTTTACATTGGATTTTATAGAGTCAAATGTGCAGTAGTGACATACTGGGGACCGGAAGCTGTAACCATGTCTGTTCTTCCCTGAAGAGAGAAGATACACAGCCTCAACTCAAAGCCAAGATTGTGAACGAAGGAATTTCTTCACAGAAAACAGCGGATGCTCCATAACTTTTAAACCTATAATCCAGTGATATGTCCTTTGAGAAGCAGCCTTCCTATTTCTTAGTATATTATACATGTAAGGTTTTTAACTTAATAAAATGTTGAGCAATTTCACTTCTTGTTGTGCTTCGGATCCTTAATGTCCCCCAGAGGCCCAGATGCTAAGTAGAGGCTTGGTTGTTAGTTGTTAGCCTGTGGCACCACTGAGGGAAAGTGAGACCTATGGGAGGTGGAAGGAAGTTAGGTAATTGGGGTTATGCCCATGAAGGGGATTGGAACTATGGCATTTGCTTTTCTTTTCCTTTGCTTCCAAGCCACCATGAAGTCAACAGTTTTCATCTGCAAAGCCCTCTTGCTATGATGTCCTGTTTTAGGACAGGCCCCAAAGCAGCAGGCCCAAGAAACCATGGACTGAAACTTCTGAAAACGAGCCAGAATAAATCTTTCCTCCTCCTAAACTATCTCAGGCACTTGTCATACTGATTGATAGGAAGCTAAGTAACACAACTCTCTCTTAGAAGTTCAGTTAAACCCCTTATGTCTTAAAGCCATGTGGCATTCACTTCTTGAGAACCTTTGGCAGACTACCTCGAAGGATCTAAAAGCAACAACTTCAACATCAAATGGTCAATGTCTATAATCATCTGCACACGCTTAGACTTGCAAATACAGTATCTCAGTGCCCCAGGGATAGTGTGATGGCTTAGCTTTCTTTTCTCTGGCAAGTAGTATCTTGACACAGTGACAAGTTCTAGGATGATGATCCTCCCTAGAAGCTCAAAATCCTTCCAAAAAGCTTTGAGAGTGATGTTTTTAATGTAATTATCAGAAGTTTAGGGCAGTGGTTTTCTCAAATTTGCGGTTCATCCTTAGCCTTGGGGGAGTATGTTGTAAAGAATAGCTCTCCAGTCTGAGTGGAGCCTAAAAAACCTACATCCATCTTTCTTTCTTTTCTTTTCTTTTCTTTTTTGAGACAGGGCTTTAGTAAGTTGCTCAGGTTGGGCTCTAATTTATGATCCTCCTGTGTCAACTTCTTAGGGTTCTGGGATTACAGGCAGGCACCATTGCACTCAGTTCAGAACTTACATCGAAATGTTCCCTGGTGGTGCTGACACTGCAGGCCCCATGCTGTTCTACTGGCTCGTAGTACAGCCTTGCCTAGCACGTGAGAGGCTATGGGTTTGCTACTTTCCCTACCTGCCTCAAAAGTTATTAAAGCTGAGACCCATTCCTAGCCCAGGCCTGGTGAGTGAGTGGGAGAGCTTCTGGCTACCCTGCGCCAGTGGGACCTACTTGTCCCAGGCCAGGTGCAGCATGGGTGAGACCCTCTTCCACCCCCTTGGGACACCCCCCACCACTGTGCAGCACCTCCCCTACCCCACCTGCCCAGTAGGGATTTCTGCCACATTCGGGGAACCCCCAGATCCAGTCCTAGCCCAGGCCCAGTGAGTGTGTGGGAGAGCTTCTGGCTACCCTGTCCTGGCATGACCTACTGGTCCCAGCCCAGGCGCAGCGTGGGTGACACTCTCACCCTCTTGGGATGCCCCCATCACTCCGTTGTACCTCCCCACACCAAGCCCATAGAATAGGAATTTGTGTCGCGTTCTGGGAACCCCC